GGTCAGATCCCCGCCTTCCCGGCTGCTCCGACGCCTCCTCTGCCGCTGCCCACGGCCTCTAGAGGCCTGAGCCTCCCACCGACTCTTCTTTCTCAGGCCAGGGGCACAGCAGGGGACGCGGTGAAGAACGCAGCTCCCAGGGTCCCAACGCCACCTCTGAGACAAGGTCACGCAAAGACACGGCGAGACGGTGGCTGTCCACCACCAGGAAGAGGCCTCTCAGCAGAAGCCAAGCGCCCCGGCATCTTGACCACGGGCGTGCAGCCTCCAGATGCTGAGAAAGACGCCCTGCTGTCAGGCCTGTCACGGAGCAGGCGGCACAGTGGGGACAGACGGGCTCCCACACCAGGCTGCGCATCCGCAAGCGCCCAGGAGGTGCCAGCTGTTGTGATCACTGTGGCCACCTCTGTCACAGCTGAGGTGCAGGTCACTGTGGCCACCTCTGTCACAGCTGAGGTGCAGGTCACTGTGGCCACCTCTGTCACAGCTGAGGTGCAGGTCACTGTGGCCACCTCTGTCACAGCTGAGGTGCAGTCATGGCTTAGAGATCCAAGACTTCAGAGCCGCACCGACAGAACTTTCTACAACGAGGTAGACATTCTCTGTCCTAAATGACGGTCACCAGTCACATGTGTTCTTTACCCTAAAGTCACCTCAAATCAAACACGATAACAAATCCAGTGTCTCAGCCGCACCGGCCCCGGGTCAGGAGCTCAGCACGTCGGGTGCCCACCCGGGGCAGGCGGCGGCGCTACTGGACAGAGCACAGCAGACCGCTCCCACGGCCGGAGCCTCCACGGGTCAGCCTGGCCCAGACGGGGCTTCCAGAGGGGTTTCGGCTGATGTTCGGTGTGAAATGTGTATCACACAGCTTTACACCACGAAGACAGATTTCTAGACAGTCCCCACTACTGTTTATGATGCGCCTTACTCTTACTCCACTTTATTCCCTTTTAAAATTATTAAAAATTGTTACCTAAGACACTGTCGGGGTGTGGGCCCCCTTTCCTTTCTTTTGAGATGGGGACTTGTCATGTTGCCTGGTTGTCCTGGACTCCTGGGTTCAGGGGACAACCCCCCCGCCTCAGCCCCCGAGGAGCGGGACTACACGCGTGGCCACCGCGTCCCCCGCTTTGGCCACAAGCAGCTCCGTCACGAGGACAAGCGGGCTGGGCGTGGGGGCGGCGGCTGTGGGTAGTTGCCGCAAGACTTCAGTGAGCCGCTGTGATGGGGGACCTCTGTGTGCCTTGCTGTGAGGGTAGTAGGGAAGCTAGCTCTGTTTTCCAGATTCACAGTAACACAAATGCCTACGAAGAAAATGGAACAATCCCTGTAGGTGGCACCCTCCCACCTGTCTCTGGGGTGCTCGGAGCCCAGGCCGTGGGACCCTGTGCTGGCCCCCTTCATCGTTACCACCCAGAGGTGGGGCTTCCCCTCGGCTCATTAACAGAGGAGGAGACTGGGGCTCAGAGAGGCGGAGCAGCTGGCCCAGGTCACACAGCCAGGGGAAGGTGGAGCCCTGGGTGCACATCCCCACGACCCTGACCGGTCCTCGTGCCTCTGGGCTCTCCTCTGGGAGTGCTGCTACCTAGGGTCCTGAGAGCCAGTGACCTGGCCCAGACACCTGCTTCTCTTCTCCCCTGGGCAGCCACAGCGAGCCTGTCATGTCATTGAAAGGTCTCCAGTGGCCCCTTGTCACCCTTAGGGTGTGATCCAAAGGCCCTGCCCCAGTGCCCGCCCCAGCCCTTCCTGCCCCTCCACTCAGCGGCACTGGCCTCCTTCCTCTCCCTGGAACCCACTGACCTTGGACACGCCTCAGGACCTTTGCACTGCTGTCCTTCTGTCTGGAACGTCTTCCAGATGCCCACGTGGCCCCTCTCTCTCACCTCTGCAGGTGTCTGTTTAAATGTCAGAGGACTTTCCTGGCGAGACAATACCCCATGACAGCAGCTCCTGTGCCCTGCCTTTCTTGGTCTCTTTCGACAGCTCCTTATTGGACATGATGGTATATATTCAGTTCTTTATGGTCTGCCTCCCGACCAAGAGGCCAGTGCCTTGAGGTCATGGGTCTCGTTCCCACTGGGGACTGAACTCAAGGGTGTTCTACCACCTGCTTACACCCCACCCCTTTCAGAAAATTAAAACATATTTTGAGACAGGATCTCACTAAGTAGCTGAGGCTGGCCTTGAATTTGTGATCCTCCTGCCTCAGCCTCCTGAGTAGGAGGACATATGCCGGCCTCTGGCTGTGTTTTGAGTGTGGTTGAGGCCGCAGCATTTAGCTGGGGGTAAGTTCTCGAGGAGGAGCTGCTGGAGGCAGGAAGGGATCTCCTTATTTGCAGGTGGCACTGCGGATCTGACTTTGCTCCCTGAGTGGGTCCATCTGAGGGAGCGGCCTGGAGCTGGCCTCGGCAGGCCACGGGCCCTCCCTCCTGGCCTCCCGGGAGCCTGGGGCTGCTGCTTGCCTTCTGACAGGCGCCTGCACCGACAAACAGTAGCTTTTACCTGTGGGAGTCTGAACTTCTCCCTGGTGTGACCTGGTCTCAATTCTGCGACGTGCCCTGGGGGCTCCTGGCACTGGGACATTTTTGAAAAAACATTAGAGAATGAAAACAAACTGGCTTCCCCGAGTAGCTCCAGCTGGTGATCAAGACCCTTCACAAGAGGTGGGACCGAGACTTGGACTTTGGGGCCGGCAAGAAAGAGCAGAGGGAGAGGGATTCCGAAGACATGGCCTGGAGCCCGCGGGAATCCCGCAGGCCAGCCCAGGTCCGCGGCAAACCTCCTGTGCCCTTGGGAGCCTCGGGCACCTGTGATGCGAGGAGGGTGCCCACGGCATGCCCACGCCCCCTGCTTTACTCATCTACTGACCACACACGGGCAGACCACGCCAGGAGTCCTGCCAGCCTCTGCCCCCCCCCCCCCACTTCAGCAGGTCCCTGGGCTTCACCTTGTCCCCAAAGCCCTTCCTGACCCCTGGTTCCAACCCACTGTTCTCCCCTGCTTGGTCGCCTACGGCCACCTCTTCACCTGCTCCCACCCCCACGCCTCCCGCCCACCGCCCACTCTCCATGCAGCAGCCAGAGTGGTCTTTGGAAAACCAGGTCATGTGGCCTCTCGTGCTTAGTGTCCCCTCTCCCGTGGATCTGCACAGCACTTGGGATAAGCTGATTCCTACGGCACCTCCCTCTCCAGACTCGTCCTCCTGGCTGTCCCTAAACAGTCACCGAGTTCCTGTGCTCACCCCAGGCCCTTGGCACTTGCTGTCCCACCTGCTGGGATTGATGTCTGGCCGGCGCCTGCCCTTGCTCTCCTGGAGCACCGTCCCTGGAGGACGCCATCCGCCCACCACCGCTCTCACCTCTGACCTTTGATGCTCCTTGCACCCCTTCTGCTGTCGCAGACCGTCTCACTTTCGGATTTGATCGGCTGTTTCTGCCTGGGCCCTGGGGGTTTATGCAAATCAGGGTGCCCCCCCACGGAGCCGACTCAGAGACTGGACTTTTTGACTGCGAGGGCCGCCGTGCCCCCCCTTTTTATTCTAAAGCAAGTTAGGTTTTGATCTTTCCAATCAGTGCAGTCTTTGTTACAGGCTCCAGAAACACTTGCTGAATTTAATGGCCGTTAAACAAACAAACAAACAAACCCTCCCCATTCTCACTCTCTTCCTGTTCTCCCCCAGCCATGGGAGGGCGCTAAAGAGCACCTGCACCTTGCTTTGGCCAAGGACAGCACTGGCCTGTCTGCTAGAGATGGTCTCTCTCCCCAACACCCAGGCTCCTCCTTACTCACGTTTCCACCCAGACCCTTTCCTTGAATTGGGTTCTCGTTGGGCAGAGAACATCGAGTCCATCTTTTGGATGGAAAGACTGGGGCCCAGGGGCTTGCGCAAGACAGAACCCAAGACTGCAAGGATTCCCGTCTCTAGCCTGAGGACCTTTCCTGATGATGAATATTCATACTGCCCTGGGCGGGGACAGGTTTGGAATCCACACCTTTATATTTCAGCTCTACAGCTCAGTCCCAGGGATTTTCTAGAGACTGAGAAAAACTATTCCTAGTAGGATAAACAGAATTGTTCTTTCACATAGAGTTTCATTGTAAGATGCCTTTATTTTTCAATCTGTTGAGCCAATAAACCTGATCATAATCTACAAAGCCAGAAGAGCCTCACGCTAATCTTTTTCTATCACTCCAACCTTTCTTCACCTGAGGAGAGCTGCTTGTTCCTCCATTTGAGGGAAGTAAGTTATATTTCCCTTCTTGCTTTGGTTACCAGGAAGCTCAGATTCACTCTGAACATGACAAAAGCAGTTCTGAGCCTGAATTTTTAAAAAATTCATGACGCAGCTCTTTATCCCTTTGCTTAAATAGTTCTCTTTTAAATATGTTTTCCATTTGACGTCCTTCCCGAATCTTTCCGACAGAGACTGTCGGAAATAAATGACTTAAGTTTATTTCCGAAGCTGCCCCCCTCCTTCCGACTTCCCTTGCATCTTGCCTGGGGGCTCAGGAGCAGATACACTAAATAAGATGAGTCCCTCGGCTGGCTCTCACTCTCTTTCTTTGTAAAACACGCTTTCAGGGGAATGTAAATTGTCTTTAAAAGCTTCCATCCTGGCCCACTGCTGATCATCGCTGACCCAGGAGGATCTGCCCTAATTTGCCTTAATAAACTTATTAAATAGCAAATTTCAGGAGGAAGAAGCGACACAGCCCTTATTGGATTAGCAGGACTGCCCGTGGACATCGCCGGGGCAGGGAGAAGGCCCGAGAGCTGCGCAGGAAGGCAGGGAGATGATCCGGCCAAGTGTTTCCAATAAGCCATTGTCGGCCCAGTTCTGGGCCTTCCTGGGGGTTGCTAGAAAAGTTTCAAGCCTCTAAAAGAAAAAGATGTAAAAAAGGAAAGAAAAGAAAGAAGTGATGGAAAGAAGCATCTGCTCTCCCCTCGAGGAGGTGATTAAATGTGGCAACTCCTACGGGGACCAGGGACTGCAAACCTCCAGGTCGTTGAAGAAGAGGTGTGTGTCCGCCAGGTTGAAGATCATCTCCTCCATCATCAGGCCGATGCGCACGGACGTCGTGGTGTCCTGTGGGAAAGAGAAGGCACAGTCCCATGCAGGCGCAGCCTCTGGGTCTCAGCCTCCTTGCCCACCCCTGAGGCCAGCTCTCGAGTGGCCTGGAGTGTGCCCGTGGGGGCCGGGCTGGTGACGGCGCACAGCCTCCAGGGCCGGCTTCTAGTTCATATCCACCTGCTCCAGTGTTAAGTCTCCTGCAAACACCTGGCTCTGCAGACACCTCAGTGACCGTGTCACAAGGACACATCCTACAGAAGTGGCCGTAGCCAGCGTGGGCTACAAGACCTTGCTTTGACCGTCACCTTTAATCCCTCCTCTCTCCTCTGTGCCTTCCCAAAGTGACTACTGTCCTGACTCTGGAGCACCCACTCAGATCTTGGTAAATACGTCAGCGCCCAGGGACAGCACTTTTTGGTTTTGTGGGACGCCGGGAAGGCTTCAGGGGAGGTGTGTGGGCACTGGGAGGGCCTGACCGTTGGTCTACAAACTTGGCTATCAGAAAGAGTCTGCTGTCCCCAGTACAGTGTCCCTGTTGAACTCAGGTGTGACCATGTGACTGGCTTTGGATGATACTACGTGGGCAGAAGTGGAGTTTCCCTTTTGGCCAGGGGCTCCGTGAGCTGATGCACGGTGTGTCCAGCTTGCTTTCTTCCCACTTCACAGGAAGGAGCGTGCTCTGGATGAAGGCTATTCTGTCTACCTGGGTTTCAGGGTAAAGGTGGCACGAATCTGAGCTGCTGCTGGTAATGGACTTACACCACAGTGAAAGGTAGACTGAGAAATAGAGTTGGGGATGTTTGTTACTGTAGCGTACCTCACCTATGCTAACGGATGCACACGGGGAATAAGGAGCACACTCATTTTCAGTCCTGCTTGCACACTGTGATGCTGTGTGGAGCAAGAAAGAAATCCCAGCCTCCGCCCGCATTGCATACCAAGACCAGGATGGCTGTGGGGTGCTCCAGGCACCCGGAAGCTCAAAGTTCCCCAGGTGATTCCAATGTGCTGCCACGGTGAAGAACCACTCGTCCAGAGTGTGTCCAACACCCGGGTCCTCAATTCCTGACAAACACCCGCTAAGTGCTTTCTCCGTACGCCCTAGAGTATGATCTCACTCAGTCCCCGAGAAGCTCTACGAGGGCAGCAGTGATTCTCCCATTTTACAGATGAAGAAACTGGGGTGCACAGGGCAGGGTACCTAGTTCAAGGCCACACGAGCTAGTGAGCGCTGGGGTCTGACCCCAGGTCACCTGGCTCCAGAACAGCTCCGTCTCTGAGCAGGACTCCAGGGCTGGGGTCAGGAGAGAGAGGAGGCCTGTCCCCCCTCCAGGGACTAGCTTTCCTGTTGGGAGTTTTCACTGGGCGGCGTCTTACCTCCATCATGAAAATACACAATCAAGACATGAACCCTCTTGACCCTAGAAATTACAAACCAAACCAAACAGGAAACACACATGAAAGAAGGGAGGAAGGGAGGGAGGGAGGGAAGAAAGAAGGAGGGAGGGAGGGAGGGAGGGAGG